CAGCGAGACCATTGCAACCGATTCAAGCCAAGTAAAAGTGTGTTGTGGTTTTGCATTGCACCTGCGCACGATGGTTGGCGGGTCAGTTCACTGGTGGGCCACTTCGCGCTGAAACTTCACGGGCCCGTGCCCTAGCAAGCAACACAAATCAATGAAGGTTATACGGTAATACGGGGGAGGGGGCGTTGTTGATCAAACTAAAGTTGAGGATTAAGATATACTCTACTTCACGAGATGTTGCAAACTTGACTATGCCCTCCCATGTTCGCTGCCGATTTTTCTCTACTGTCTAAGGTCGTAACTACTGGGATGCCCATCGCGGTGTTTGTCGCTCTGAACATATTTTGCAGCATGCTGCCCAGCCAGCGCCAGGTGTTTATTTATGCGCACTGCAAAAATAAGAGCTGTAAGCCACAATATGGCTGACGCGCCAACAACTGAAAAATGAAATATCTTTGGAGCTATGTTGCTAAGGACTGCCCTTGCAGGGGTTGTTGCGTGGCTCCGAGTGGGGCGGCTTGTTGGGGGGGGGGGGTGATGGACACTTGAAGTTCAATATTCAAGTACAGCCATTCCAAAAAACATAAAGCACATCAGGAATAATATTCAACAAATATTATTCGATAAAGTCATATCAAAACACAAAATGGTTGCACGCAAGAAACACTCACATCAAGTCATGCTCGTTCCCTTTTGGCATTGGTCGATAGCATGAGCGATGTAGGTTTGGCTACAGAAGGCATGCGTCCAAAACCCCCCTACAGATACTGACAATGCCAAAAGGGAAGAGCGCCTACCTTGCCCCCCGTAGGCTGTGCTCTGTCTCTTTGGCCGGGCCCTGACGCCCGGTAACCTAAATGGACACTGCTCGACGCGCAGAGCAGCGGCATTCACATGCCAACGCAGCCAGAACACTGAAACTGGATGAGGCCGTGAGAGAAGTGCCACATGAGGCGCAACGTGAATTCGTACGACATTGCTGCAGCGGGCACCAAAGAATTTTGGAATTGGCCGGAAGCACCTGAACTGACCATGGTTTGTGCCACAACTGGGCAAGCGCGAAGCGAACCCTATGCTGGATTTCCCACACACGGGGCCAGGCCCCATCGGACTTGCAAGTAATGAAAGAGCCATTTATTCCCCACATTTCTGTGGGGTTCTAGTTGTTTGAGTGGCTGCGTCGCCCGCAGTCGCAGCGGCTCTTCTTCCGTCGCGAAACATTTTGGACGCAAATCGCGCTCTCGCGTGAGACATCCTCAAAATTTTCGCGTTTTTAGGATTGTTTCCAAAAATTGGTCGACTCGCCTTTCAAGTAGTCTTCGGAGCGACTCGGGAAAAAAAGGGTTTTGTAATTAATGGATTTGTCGAAAACGCGTTTTCGCTCGAGACATCCTCTATTTTTTGATGACGGATTGGGTAATTTTCTTTGAAAATTTGAAAATGACGCTCTCGCTCGTGACATCCTCGTTTTTTGACGAAAATGACGCTCTCGCTCAAGACATCCTCGTTTTTTGCTCAAAATTGCGCTCTCGCTCGAGACATCCTCACAAAATGGACGTATTTTACTCCAAAATCGCGTTTTCGCTCGAGACATTCGGCTCTAGACCAGTCCGAAACCCGAAATGGACACGCCCCAAAATCGGTCAACATCGCATTTTCGCTCGAAACATCCTCAAATTTTGAAAATTGTTATCTATTGTTTATCCAAAAATTGGTCGACTCGCCTTTAAATTAGTCTTCGGAGCCCTCCGGCAAAAAACGGTGCTTATCAAAATTGCTAAAATCGCGTTTTCGCTCGAGACATCCTCGATTTTTTGACGCCGGATTGACCCATTTTTGATAAAAAGAAATGACTAAAATCGCGTTTTCGCTCGAGACATCCTCAAATTTTGAAGATTTTTGATAAAAAAATGCGCTCTCGCACGAGACATCCTCAAAATGTTGATGAGTTTTTGGTCAAAATTGCGCTCCCGTGCAAGACATCCTCAGAATCTTGATGATTTATTTTCAAAATTGAGCTCTCACGCGAGACATCCTCGAAAAAATGGTTGATGATTAGCTCATTTTTAGTTAAAAACTGCGCTCTCGCGCGGAGCATCCTCACAGTTTAGCTGAAAATATGCACTGCCGTGCGAGACGTCCTCCAAATTTTGATGATTTTTTGGTTCGAAATCGTGTTCCCGCGCGAGACATCCTGCGAATTTTGACGGTTAAGGATCGAAAATTGCGCTCTCGCGCGAGAAACTCTCCAAAAAGTGGTTCATGGTTGGGTCATGTTCCGTTCGAACTCGCGTTCCCGCGCGAGGCATCTTCACAATTGTGATGGAAACAACGCGCTCTCGTGCGGAGCATCTTTGAAACTTTGGTGATTTTTTGGTTCGATATTGTGTTCCCGTGCCCGCATGGAACATCTCGTGAATTCTCGCCAGGTGTTTCTCACATTTGTGTTTCACGCGCGGAACATGTTCTGAAAGTCATGACATGTGTAAGAAGATGAACATGCATATCCAGGCACGCATCCATCAGCTCACTAATCAATACACCCATCCATCCATCCATCCATCCATCCATCCATGCATCCATCCATGCATCCATCCGTTTATTCATTCACCTAGTAGCTTCACCCTAGGCGGGGTCAGGATAGCAAATGACTAGTTTTTCTGCCAGTGAGCCACGTTTTGAACAAGGCACCAATGTGTGGCAGCCACCACCCCAAACATCCCCATGGTTAGTAGCTTCACCCTAGGCGGGGTCAGGATAGCAAATGACTAGTTTTTCTGCCAGTGAGCCACGTTTTGAACAAGGCACCAATGTGTGGCAGCCACCACCCCAAACATCCCCATGGTTAAAGGGGCACGGCGACATGGCGACGCCATTAACAAACCCCCCATTCCAAAATATTTCACCAAAACCGGATCACATATATCGCGACATGTCTGATGTATATATATATATTAAAAAAAATTCCCACTCAACCTACCCCTCACATGTTTGACACGACTGTCACAAGCACTGGAAGGCAACTGACAAGGCTGACAGTTATTTTCGCGCTTCATGTCGAAATGACACAGGGAATGTCCCCAGAAAGCTTGGAGTGACTTCAAACATGAGGCCAGGAGCCAGAACTGCAACAGCAAGAAGTTGGTCTTCGCTTGCCAGCCAGGCAACTTCTGAAAAGGCTTGGCCATCCCCTAGTTTTTCAGCACCGAGCGTAACCCCTTCTAGGCTCTAAACCAAACCAGTCCACCTGAGGGCTTGCGAGAAATCAAGTGCCAGTGGGCCGCAGGAATAGTCGGGATAGCAATAACTACAACATAACCATGAATACAGAATCCTCTGATCTTGACTGCGCCGGCTCACTGCATTGGTGGAATTACACGTCGGATCCTGGCGTTGGGTAGAGGATCAGAACACAAGACATTACGACTACAGGGCACGAGTGTCACTAGTGTTGACTACAACAGGCAGTAGGAGCGCAGAGTGGCTTGAAGGTTTCAGGGGCGCGGGCCGAGCGCCAAACGCAACGGCATAGATTACGCAATAAGCACACGTTGCAAAAAGCATGGGCGATAGATACAGGACTTGAAAACTAAGGTTGCAAAAACAGTGCAATTTCAGAGTGGCGCGCGAGCTCTTACAATTCAACAAAACAATAAACGATTGAAATGATCGGAAACTCGAAGAGCCAAAGAATTTTACAAAACAGCCAAAACTGCATGAATTTGCCCTATAGCCAACACAAATGTGCTTCTCAGGACTGGAAACCAATCCAAAGCTATATTTTTTTGAAGGCAATGTACCTCAAAACCTGACGACACGACCAAACCCTGAGACTCCAAGCAGTGCCGTTTTTTGGCATTGCAGAATCGCATTGCGAATTCAGCACTGCCAGTGCCAATTCAGCACTGCAGATTTCTCAACCTCTTAAGGGCTTAGCAGTGCAGTTTCAGCACTTCAATTTAGCACTGATGAAGTGCTAAAACTGCACTGCGATTCTGCGATGCGATTCAGCAATGCTACATGAAATACATGCCTTGTAACTTCAAAATTATGGTTGGAAGCATAGTAGTTCATGAAAAGTCCCCATGCCTTGCCTTGCTTATGGTCTAGGGTTTAGGGGCTTATAGTAGGCCTAGCTGACAAATGATCGACAGTAGTTCATGAAAAGTCCCCATGCCTTGATTGCTTATGGTCTAGGGTTTAGGGGTTTAGTAGGCCTTGCTGACGTCAATTTTTGATTTGCAGAAGCATTTCGGTTCAAGTGCTTTGCCAGCATCATGCTGCTCACCAGCGCGGCTTAAGAGGCCTGCTTGTCAAGGTAGCTTGCCAGAAGATGGCAGCCCTTCGCTGCCTACAGTCTCGCCTACAGCCTTGCCTGCCAGCAAGCCCTGCTTGCCTGCAGAAGTTTAACTTTGGGATCCACTGTAGACCCCCAGTATGAAGGCTGAGTAGTCATGGGTGCCCCTCTCTAGGCTTGAAACTTTTTTAGCTCGAACTTTGCAAGCCAAGCCTCAATGTCAGAGCTAGCAACTCTAGGGCTGGGCAAAAAATTTGCCAGTTTCAGGGGAAAAAAAGTTCCTTAAAAAAGTTCCTTAAGGAACTTTTTGGGGAGAAAAATTTCCAGGTTTCAGGAAAAAAAGTTCCGAGAAAAAAAAGTTCCTTAAGGAACTTTTTAAGGAACTTTTTTTAAGGAACTTTTATTAGTTTCCTTATTAATTTAAATAGAAACTAATAGAATTCCAGTTAAAAGTTCCTAAAAAGGTTCCTTAAAAAATTCCTTAAGGAACTTTTTAAAGGAACTTTTTCCCTGAAACTGGCAAATTTTTTCCTTGGAGAAAATGAATTTAAGGAACTTTTTTTAGGAACTTTTGGGGTCTGAAATTTCCTCCAGAAGCCCAATTTGGCCAGCTGCACCTCCAAGCTTTCCATGTTGGCTCCAAAAAATTCCATGCAGATCATTTAGGCTCAAGCTTTGCGCGCCTTTGGCTTGTTAGGAAGTCATGGCTGGAATGAGCACCTTGAAGAAGCCTGCTGCAACCCCCAAGACTGCAGGCCGCAAAGCTGCCCTGCACAAGGCAGTGGAGAAGCTCCTGCTCCTGCAGGCTTGCCTGCAGAAGGCCAAGGAGAACCAGCTGCCCCTGCAGGCTTGCCTGCAGAAGGCCAAGGAGAACCAGCTGCCCCTGCAGGCTCGCCTGCAGAAGGCGCAGCAGCCTCAAGGCCTTCAGCTCTCAAGGCTAAGCAAGCCTCAGCCCCTGCCACTCCCAAGGCTGGCCCGAAGAAAGGGTGGAGCTCCCCAGTCCGAAGGGCAAGGCCTCTGCTGCCAAGGCTGCTGCTGCTGCCCCTTTGGCTCTAAAGGATGCTGCAGGCAGCCTTAGCCGTTGCAAGTCACAGCAGGAGAAGCGAGCCTTCTACTACAAAGTCTACTTGTTGGACCCAGAGGTTTCCGCAAAGGTGGTGGCTAAGAAGGACACCCAGGAGGAGGACGACAACGAGACTGTCCAGAAGGGATGGTTCACGGACGATGAGGTTGCGCAGTTCAAGGGCATCTTGCCCCAGAACGAGAACTACAGCAAGCTGAAGGAAGCTGCCTGCCATGGCTGTCCCGAAAGGGACCACGAAGACGAGAACTTGGCGGCCCTTGGAGTGAGGCAGTACTACTACGAGCACCGCGTTGCCAAAAGCTCTAGCAGCAAGAAGCGGTTGTTGGAGCTTGAGGAGGAGGTCGACGAGGTGGCTGCAGAGGACTTTGAGGAAATCCGGAAGAAGCTCAAGGGCGAGCCGACCCAGAAGCCTGCAAAAGGCAGCGGGGGACAGCCACTGGCGCAGGTCTTGCCAGAGCAGCTGTACAAGGAGCAGCACAAGAGAACGACAAGCATGCTGAGCCAAGTCTGCTCTGAGCTGACCGGCATGGACAGCTTGGTCGTGACCCTCAAGAAAAAGAAGCACGACATGGGCCCTGTCGCGCTGGGGCAGGTGGAGAAGCTGCAAGGCACCTTCCAGGAGCTGGAGACTGCCATCATTGAGGATCTGCAGAATTATCCTAAGGATCCCAAGGACCAGGCCAAGGACCTTGTGGATGGCATCTGCGACATCTGTAAGAAAACCGCCGACGTTTTGAAGGGCCTGAGGAAGGACCTGGCCACCCAAAAGAGGTGGGCTGCAGAGCACGACTGAGG